CAGAGAAAAATCGTTAACAAGAGCTTTTCTCTACTTTTTCAGCGCTTCATTCCCAAATTTCGTTCGTTTTTGATGGTTCTGGAACGCACTGTAGCTTTTCCACTGTTTAGAATTCGAAAAAAGCCAAATTCTAAATCTCACCCCGGCTACAGTAACCCGATTGCTCATTTTTGCTAGCAGACGAAAATCTTTGGCTTAAAACTAAAGCGTGCGCTCCAGCTTCGTCCCCAGATCAACTTTCAGCTCTTTCCTTTTCGTTTTTTCAGCGTTTGAAGCTTGATTCAGAGAAGAAACGTTAACAAGAGCTTTTCTCTGCTTTTTCGGCGCTTCATTCGCAAATTTTGATTGTTTTTGGTGGTTCTGGAACGCACTGTAGCTTTTCCACTCTTTAGATTTTGAAAAAAAGCCAATTCTAAATCTCGACCCAGCTACAGTAATCCTCCCCCAGCTACAGTAATTTTTTTTTCGAGTGGACGAAAATCTTTGGCTTAAAACTAAAGCGTGCGCTCCAGCTTCGTCCCCAGATCAACTTTCAGCTCTTTCCTTTTCGTTTTTTCAGCGTTTGAAGCTTGATCAGAGAAGAAACGTTAACAAGAGCTTTTCTCTGCTTTTTCGGCGCTTCATTCTCAAATTTTGATTGTTTTTGATGGTTCTGGAACGCACTGTAGCTGATCCACTGTTTAAAATTTGAAAAAAAGCCAAATTCCAAATCTCGACCCAGCTACAGTAACCCGGTTCTGTCTTTTTTCGGGTAGACTCAAATTTTTTCACTTCAAACTAAAGTGTGCGCTCCAGGATTAGCAAAAAGTGCGAAATTTTCGGTTTTTGCTTGAAAAATAGCGGTCATATGTAGTTGAATTTTTCTAATTCGTGACCAATTTGCAAAGACTACCGTAATCTTCCGGTCTTCCATTAGTACTTTAGCTTACAATTCAAAGCGATATGCCAGATGGAATGCGACTGTGCACATAAAGAACACTAGTCAGCAAAAAAGAAAAAAAGCCAAAACCGGGATCGAACCTGTGAGGTCTCGCTCTGGAAACCAACAGCTTACCACTCAGCCACGGCTGCATCAAACTAGGTCTGCAAAGAGGTCGCTAAGAGGGCGCAAAGAGGCCGGTAAGAGTGTGCAAGGAGACCCAAATAGCTAGTCTCTCAGAGTTCTTGTCACCAAGACTTTAGATGCTTATAACTCCTGCCAGATTGTCATTTAGCAAAAACGGAAAGCAGATTCGGAATCAGCAACAAATTCTGCGTCGAATGGTATAGGTCGCATATCAAAATTCGCAGTTTTTGCTACAAAAAAGGATGAAAAAAGACCTTTCAAAAAAAACCTTTCAAATCCTACGAACCATGTAAAATTTTATTGCCAAAACTTTCCGTGACATCCAGCTCAGACGCTGCTGTCGTGAAAAGTTTTAAAAAAATTCACTGAGCTGAGAAAAAGATTAGAAAACTAAAATCATACTCTCATCGCTAAGAAAAAGACAAAATGTCAAGGATCGAGGCTTTTAACAGGGCGTGGAGGGGAAATCATCGCATTTGATGGGTAATCGAGTGGAAAATCGACCGATGATTGAGCGAAAAGGACAGCTTTTTATCAATATCAATGTATTTCAGTGAGAATTTGCTTTCCTACCAACAATCGGACAAACAAAAGTTAAAGTCACATAAATTTTTCGTTTATTTGTCATTCTGGAAGTTACTGTAGCTTTTCCACTGTTTAGAATTCAAAAATTTGCGTATTTAGATTTTTTCTAAATCTCGCCCCAGCTACAGTAATCCGATTGCTCATTTTTGCTAACAGACGAAAATCCTTGGCTTAAAACTAAACCGTGTGCTCCAGCTTCGTCCCCAAATCAACTTTCAGCTCTTTCCTTTTCGTTTTTTCAGCGTTTGAAGCTTGATCAGAGGAAAAACGTTAACAGGAGCTTTTCTCTACTTTTTCAGCGCTTCATTCTCAAATTTTGCTTGTTTTTGGTGGTTCTGGAACGCACTGTAGCTTTTCCACTGTTTAGAATTTGAAAAAAAGCTAATTCTAAATCTCACCCCAAGTACAGTAATCCGGTTCTGTCTTTTTTCGAGCAGACTCAAAAATTTTCACTTCAAACTAAAGTGTGCGCTCCAGAATTAGCAAAAAGTGCGAAATTTTCGGTATTTGCTTGTAAAATAGCGGTCATATGTGGTTGAATGCATTTCTTCGGGTAAAATTGAAAATTTTTTATTTTCTTGTCGAAGAATATAAAGAAAAATCACCTGAAATCGTAAAAATGAAGAAAAAAGATGAAAAAAGATCGGAAAAACGCTTTAAAAAAGAGAAATTTGCAAAAAAAATCGGATTTGCTTTTTTTAATGGTTGGGACCACCCGAAAATCCCAAACAATTCCTGGATTTAAATTTTTTAAATTTAAAATTTTGAAATAAAACTTTACCGGAACTCTCAAAATTTGTATTTTCAAACGATTCGTGATAAAGAAAAGAGCACAAAATAGAAATTTGAGGGGCAAAACGGAACTTTTTCCTTTAAAACACAGCAAGCCACGCCCACTTTTTGAGTTGGTTACTGTAATTTGTGATTTTATCTGATGAGAGTTATTTTTTTTGAGATTTCTAACCGTTCTGGAACTCACTTTAGTTAATCCATGTTTTGGATTTCGAAAAATCGGAATTTTGTTTTTTTTCTAAAACTTGACCCAACTACCGTACCTAGATGATTGACCTCGACCTAGAAGACGATCTAGACCCGAATTTTTTGCATAAAACTAACAAGTGACCTCCAGATCGTGTAAATATCGAAAAATTTTCGAGATTTCATTGAAAATTCGACTTGTAGGGCGTTGGAGAAAAACTTTTTGAGTTGGTTACTGTAATTTGTGATTTTATTTGGGAAACGTTATTTTTTTAATTAATTTTGGCCGTTCTGGAACTCACTTTAGTTAATCCACGTTTTAGATTTCGAAAAATCGGGATTTTGTTTTTTTTCTGGAACATGACCCAACTACCGTACCTCGACCTAGAAGATTGACCTAGAAGACGATCTAGACCCGAATTTTTTGCTTAGATCTAACCAGTGACCTCCAGATCGCCTAAATATCGAAAAAATCTTGAGATTTCATTGAAAATTCGACTTGTAGAGCGTTGAAGTCGAAAAAGTGGGCGTGGCTTGTGGACAGATGGATAAACTACCGTAATTTTCGGATAAAAGACGAATCTATGAGGTGTTTGAGGTGAAAAGACTAGGAAATTGGGGAAACAGAGAGGTTACTGTAGACTGAATAGTCAATAAAGACTAAAAAGGGTGGGGGAAATTGAGAATGGAAAAGAAAACCCTCAAAAATATAAAGAAATTCAATCTCTAGAAAGGTATTCGATAAATATGGATCCCACGGGGACGAATGGAAATGGAAACGGTGGGGCTGGGCACAAAAGAATGAAAACGACTACGGTAGCGCTCGAATCCATTTAAAACAAGGAAAAAAAACCCAGCAAACGAATCGATGAGGTGCACAAAAGAGACAAGGACAAGAATCTGGGAGAAGAGAAATAAATACAGTAAGACGTTTTTTGCAAAGTACAGAAATACAGCCTTGAACAGGTTCACGAGAAAATTCGCGAATTTTTGGAACAAATTTTGGATTCTAACAAAAATTCTGGCAATCCTGGAGGGCACACTTTAGCTAGGATACAGTAAATTCGACGTAAATTGAAATTGAACGTAGTCGAATACAGCCTTGAACAGGTTCACAAGAAAATTTGCGAACTTTTGGAACAAAAGCTGGATTCTAACAAAAGTTCTGGCAATCCTGGAGGTCACACTTTAGCTAGGATACAATAAATTCGACGTAAATTCAAATTAAACGTAGTCGAATACAGCCTTGAACAAGTTCACAAGAAAATTCGCGAATTTTTGAAACAAAATTTGGATTCTAACAAAAATTCTGGCAATCCTGGAGGTCACACTTTAACTAGGATACAGAAAATTCGACGTAAATTCAAATTGAAATCAGCTAAGAGTTTCCAGGAGTCAAAATTTTGTGAGAATCTAAATATCCGATTTTTTTCACTACAAAAGAATGTTCTACACATACTAAACAGCAGAAACGAGTTTGTGGATGGCCATTCCGCAAGAAAACCCCTCAAAAACATCCCCTGATACAGAGAAATAAGCAAAAAAATTTTGAGGGATCTTGGGATTTGTTGTTCACAACGCTTTGGCGGACGAAAAAATGAAGATACAGCAATTATAAACGCTTTTCTGCTAGTTCTGGAACGCAGTATCTTCATTTTAAGAGAAAAAAAACGAGAAATGAGTGCTTTGGTTGTTAAAGTGACTTAAAAGTTGAGATTCAAAAATTTCAAACGTTAACCCTAAAAACTGACATGTTTATTGGATTCCCGATAATCGAAAGGCTCTAAACGACATACGACACTTGGGAGAAATTCCCAAGGTCTTTAGTATTACGACGTAGTACGAGACGCACAGTGGAGCGTTGCGGAATCGCGCTACGACCCGACGTGTCGTATGTCGTTTAGAGGTTTTTGACTATGGAGAATCCAAAAAATAAGCTAGTTTTGCGAGTTGGTTTGTGATTTTTCAGGATTCAAAAATTTCAAACGTTAAGCCGTAAAACTGACATGTTTTTTGGATTCCCGATAGTCGAAAAGCTCTAAACGACATACGAGAAATTCCCAAGGTCTTTAGTATTACGAGGTAGTACGAGACGTACAGAGGAGCGTTGCGGAATCGCGCTACGACCCCACGTGTCGTATGTCGTTTAGAGGTTTTCGACTATGAAGAATCCAAAAAACAGGTTAGTTTTGGGAGTTGGTTTGTGATTTTTCAATATCTGACAATTTTCGGCTCCTTTAAACCTCTAACAACCCAGAAACACCCTTAAAAGTTCCACAATGTGCTAGTATGGGAAATAAGCACTGTAGAAGTTCTCATCGTTTTCCATTTCGGCCTCGCTCGGGCGGATTGGCTCATCCACGTCCCGTCATGTTCTTTTCATGCATAGTTCCTGAAAAATCGTTTAGTTGAGAAAATCTTGGCCAGAATCGAGTTATAGGAGGAATTCTGTGGTTATTCTTAAGTTCTGGATGTCACTACACGATTTGGCATTGAAAAAGGCTCACCCTGACGAACGGATCGACTTCCCAGTTCTTGAACAGCTCCATCACTTGCATGTTTTCCTCGTTTTGCGCGATGATATTCTGAAAATTTTTCGTTTTTTATCAATCCTGGATGTCAGTACGGTGATTGGTGAAAGAAAAACTGGTAAAACTACATTTAAAAAATATTCGCATACCACAGGGTACTGTATTACTACTACGTCGACTCTAGCAGCCCTAAGCCTACTGTATTCACGCACAAACCTGTATACTAGCCGTCATCATCAATAAACTGCCATATTTCTGCACGCCGACCGGGATTCCCAACTTGTTCGTGATAAGGGTGAAGAGCGCTGACAAGTACTTGTTCCTTTCCTCGGCCACATCTTCTTTCGCTTTTTGTGACAAATCGAGGGCGTCTAAATTCACGATGACTTCCAGGATCGACCATAAAATCGCTTTCAACTCAAAAACTTTAGCCGATCAGGGTCTAGAGGCTTGAACTCGATTGCTCCTATCCAAAGTCTATAAATTTACCAGATTATGCCTTTTACAACTCTTGTGCCTTCCAGGACCAACGAATTCCTATTTTAAATAGTATTTAGTAGCCTGTGTACAATAGTACAGCTTCGGACTTGATTAAGGGTGTCAATTGGTAAATCTTGTAGCTTTAGTATCCGTTTTTTCCAAACCAATTCCCTCTATGCCCACCAGGATTGAAGAAAAAGGCGGCTTTGAACGTGGCGAACTCGGCTTCGGTGATGTTCAGCTTTCGAAATGGTATCATGATCTCGTCCATTTGCCTTGGGTAGATCAGACGACAACCGGAGAGTTGCACCTGGAATTGAAATTTTTAGCTAAAACTCTCTAGTGACCTCCAGATCACTCAGAAATCAGCTTAGAATCAATCGCTTCCAACATTTTTTCAAAACAAATGCCCTATTCTCAGATCTCACAAAGGTGTTTCATGAAAAGTTCTTGTAAAGTTGAAATTTGCTTTTAGAACTCTCTAGTGCCTTCCAGATCACTCAGAAATTAGCTTAGAGTTATTAATTTTCAAGGTTTTTTCAGAGTAAATGTCCCATTCTTATAACTCACAAAGGTGTTTCGTGAAAAGTTATCGTAAAGTTGAAATTTGCCGCTAGAACTCTCTAGTGCCTTCCAGATCACTCAGAAATTAGCTTAGAATTATTAATTTTCAAGGTTTTTTCAGAGTAAATGTCCCATTCTCATAACTCACAAAGGTGTTTCGTAAAAGTTATCGTAGACTTGAGATTTGCTTTTAAAACTTTCTAGTGCCTTCCAGATCACTCAGAAATTAGGTTGGAGTTATTCATTTCCAAGGTTTTTTCAGAGTAAATGCCCCATTCTCATAACTCACAAAGGTGTTTCGTGAGAAATTATCGTAAAGTTGAAATTTGCTTTTAGAACTCTCTAGTGCCTTCCAGATCACTCAGAAATTTGCTTAAAATTCGTTGTTTCCAAGGTTTTCACCAAAAAAAGAGCTTGTTCTTTTTTCAAAGTGGCTACCTGTTGTTGTGGTTCTCTCAAGATGAAGGCTCCATTCTGGTAAACGATTTTATCGGGCCCATGATCAGGCGAGTAGAAAACGCGATTGAGAAGGTTGAAGGTGAAGGCAAAATTGCGCACCAGCGACAACTGAAAAGGGGAAAATTGAGATGATTTTGGCTTTTATAGCTGGCTTTGATTTCTAATTGGCATATTGCCAAGCCCAACAGCTATCAATTGCCCTAGTGCCTCCCAGGATGCAAGCAAATTGCATTGGTTTCCTTGAAATCTTCCAAATTTCCTCCTATTTCCTTCTACATTTATTTACCCCTACAATTTCTCGCGAATCTTTAGACCGATTGTTGGTTATAAGCAGCTTTCCCGCCATCCTGGAACGCACACTAGCGTTCTTGATTCAGAAATTTACATTTAAAGATGTTTAAGAGATTTTTATGTTTTAAATCGAGTTCGTGATGATTCCGGAAAACTGAGAAGAAGAATTTGATTTTAATTGAGTTTTTCTTTCAATCTGGATGTCACAATAAAATTGTAAGAATTCAGATTTTTGAAATCTTTATTTTAAAAAATCGAGAATTTGATGGACTGAGTTCGTGATGATTCCGAAAAATCGGCTAGAATAATTTGAGTTTAATTGAGTTTTTCTTTCAATCTGGATGTCACACTAGAATTCTAAGGATTCAGATTTCTGAAATCTTTATTTTAAAAAATCGAGAATTTGATAGACTGAGTTCTGATGACCCGGGCCAAATCAGGTGCACTATTTTGATAAAAATCGAAAATCCGAATTCTGAAAATTCTAGTGTGACATCCAGATAGAAGAAAAAACGCAATTTAAAGAAAATTGGATTTGCCAGTTTTTTGGAATCATCGCAAGACTCTTGACCGTGTTTCGTGATGATTCCGGAAAACTGAGAAGAAGAATTTGATTTTAATTGAGTTTTTCTTTCAATCTGGATCTCACACTAGAATTCTAAGGATTCAGATTTTTGAAATCTTTATTTTAAAAAATCGAGAATTTGATAGACTGAGTTCGTGATGATTCCGAAAAATTGGCAAGTGCAATTTTATTTCGATTGCGTTTTTTCTCCTATCTGGATGTCACACTAGCATTTTCAGGCTTCAGATTTTCGATTTTCAACGAAATAGATTTTCCACATCCACATTTGTACTATGTACAGTACCGCTCTCAGCTTCCAATGCAAATTCCCCACCCTCACCTGATCATTGATCGCCAATCGCATGAACGCCTCAAACGTTTTCCCCCATTCGATGCAGATTCGCATCTCGCGGATATTCCACATCCGCACGTCGTTCATCGACGCCGGGTAGAACTCTTTGAATACGGTGGTCGGCTGAAATTTCGATTTCAATTGAAAATTTGACTTTTCTTTTCATTTCATTCTACGATCTGGATGTCACAAGGCAAGAATTTCCAATTTTTTTCCTTTCTTTCCTTTCAACTTTCATTTCCATTCCCGCAAAACTTTCAGCAAAGGGAAATATCTTTTTCCAAGAATTTCTAAAAGATCAAAACCGATTTTTCAGTCATTCTGGATGTCACAGTAGCTTCTCCAATAGATAAAGTTACAGTAAGTCGAAATTTTCACAAATTGTTCACAAATCGTTCTCAACTCAGAATTCCCTTTCCCAAAGTCTTTTTCGAAGTCATAAACCTCTTTTCCAGATTTTCTGGAGCGCAGAAAAGATTTTGAACTCATTTTAAACTCAATAGGTAATCTTTGAGGTGAATGGATAATTATTAAGGGCCTTCTGCCTCTCCTAGGGCCCCCTCTTAGGGCCCCCTCCCAGGGCCCCCCTCCTAGGCCCCCCTCCTAGGGCTCCGCTCCTAGTGTCCCCCTCCTAGGGCCCCCTCCTAGGGCCCCCCTCCAAGGGCCTCCCTGGGTTCAACCGATTCTCACATTATTGCGTTCTTTTTAAACAAATACTCTTTCTGCTATCCAGAATGGGGTTTCCGAGCGGAAAGGGAGTTGGGAGAGCGAAATAGAGCTCTCCCGAGCGACGGGGAAGCCGTGCATGAGGAAAAGTCTGAAGAGCTGGGGGAGGTGATCGAAGAACAACCTCCTTTGGCCCATTCTTGTAGCCATACTTCCCAGTGCGCTCCAGAACGAGGGAAAAGTGGCGAGAAAGGTGAAAATTTCAAGAGAAATCGAGCTAAAAAGCCTTCGAGTCGAGTTGGCGTCGAGATTTCGATTCTCTGCCAACTTTAACACCTTTTCGACGAAAGCTTTGCTCTATCTGGATGTCACACTAACTGTAAATGGCTTCAGAATGCCAGTACAGTACAGTACAATGTACAGTGTACAGTACCATACGCTTTGTACTATATACAGTAGTAAATAAATACAGTAAACCCCGAAAACTCACATCATGCTTCAATTCCTTCGTCCTGAACAGTAAACAGTCGAACATGAGCGCTTGATTCACGCCGTTTACCTCGGGGAGAACACAATGGCGTAATTCCTTGCATAGCCCTTCAACGTGAGTCAAATTCTCGACAATTTCCTGGAAATTTTGTTTTAAATAGCCGTTGTGACTTCCAAAATTTCATTTAAGCCCAATTTCAACATAATTTTATCGTTTTCTTTCCACGATAATGGCTTGGCTACCGAAAAATCGGAGATGAGCTGGATTTTTCGAGATTTCAAAGTGAAATGGGGTTTTTTAAACCAAGAAATAGACGATCTGGAAGTCACAGAAGCGTTTAGAAAAAGATTTAGATTGATATATGCAAATTTTGGTATACGGTATGATAAAGAGATATTCAGCTAATCAGCTTTAAATGTAAATTTTGCAATTTCGTCAAAATTTCTAAATTGGTTTGTTTTGAGGATTTAGGTGCACTGGGGGATGGGGTAGAGTGAAAGGGACACAAAAAAAGGGGTACTGTAGGTACTGTAGGTAGTGTAGAAGCCAAGGGGTACGATAGCCCCGAGACCCACGGTACTGTAGCCAAACCACCGTTTCTGTGCGATTTCTTAATCCTAAACTCTAAACTGCACTCCAGAACGAGCATTGAACGTAATTTTGAGCGATTTCGAGTCATTTTAACGCCTCAAATCGTGCCATTCTCATTTCAAAACGGTGCTTTGGCCACAGTATTGCGTTTTTGGTGCAAAGAAAAACGAAAATAATAGCAAATTCTTTGGGCTAACCTTGAGCGGGGCACAGGAACTGACGGATGCCCCGAGTAAAGATTCGAAGAAAGCCTAAAATTGGTGCTAAAAATCGGGAAATCGATTGTAAAACGAGATCGAGACGAAATTATTCGAAAAGATTCGGCTACAGGTTTTCTGAATGGCCGAAACGTCGATCCTGGCACGCACACCAGCTATTTCAGTAGCCAAACCACGACAAATTTCATAAAGAAAAATAATGGGCAAACGGAAAGTCGCCTAGTCGATAATAGTAGTGGATAAAAAATGTACTAACTAAAGCACTAACTAGCGGAAAATTTACTGTGACATCCAGAACCACCAAATTCGTTTGAAAAACGGAGGTTCTATGTACAAAACAGTGCTAAAAACGGTTGAAGTCTGATGACAGCGTTTTATCGGGCTACAGCGATTTCTCTGGATTTTTAGCGAAAAATTTGGTGATTCTGGATAGCACTCGAGGTATTGAGACTCAAAAAAATCCACCTGATCTTGATTTCGAATCGGCGTCACCGCATTGTCCGAGTCGCTACCCGAGCTTCCTTTTGCCGCTTTCCGCGTCGGTCCTATTCTGTCTCGATCGTTTTGGATCGCTGAAGATGAGCCGTTTTGGATCGCTGAATTCGGGTTCCCGGTTTTGGATCGGATAGGGCGGGGGATTTATTAAGAAAAATATTATCATATATCCGACCCAAGCGAGAGCAATTCTTCACCCACTCATTAACAGCTATTTAGCTGGAAAATTTGCATAGATTTCTGTTTTTTCCATCGTTCTGGAAGTCACTGTATCTGATACGCAATTGAGTTTTTTGAAATTCCGAGTTTTTCGAGTTTCCCTTAACAAAATCAGAGTACGCGACTAAAACTAGCTCTGTGCTTCGAAATTTGAATTTCTGACTACAGTACCCGTCAATCTGGATGTCAGGAGAGAAAATTTAAAAATTTCCATACAAAAATTCCATACATACAAGATTCTCAACATGGCGCAGTCGGTAGAGCGTTTGACTGGAAAGCCGAGGATCGAGGGGGTCGAGGGGGGTCGAGGGTTCGACTCCCCTTGGAACCTTTTTGTTCGGAAAATTTTTGCTTTTGTGAAAACGATTGTTTCAAAATGTGTCCTGACATCCAGATTGCACGATTTTGCAAAAAAAACCAGCAAAAGTTTCAAGGGAAAGCTTTTATGCCCTCAAACTTCCGATCGGATGAGTACTATAGCTCTTTTGACCCAAAAATTCAGCTTTTTGGAGAAATCAACTTTTTCGGCTCACCTTTCGCGTCCATTCCCACTTGTAGACATTTATTAAAACGGCAATGCCGACAAGCGCAACGAATATCTGAAATAGAAAACTTTAAGTTGCGTAATTGAATCGGTAAAAAAACTGAACCGGTACTTTTCAAGAATTTAGCGAATAAACTCCGAAAACTCACTTTTATTCACGTCACATTTCCCATCGTATTGGCATATAAACGTTTGCTCGGAGACAATCGTCCGTCGGAAAAACGTCTTACTGTAAATAGAGTACTGTAGATTCTTCTGGAAGCTATTCCCCAGCTTCAAAGCTATTCCCCAGCTCTTCCCCCGATCGTTTCCTCAATCCTGGACCTCACCCCAGCTTTTGAAATCGAAAATTCCCGCAGTCACCTTAGGATCAAAGTTTCCGAAAAGCTTGAACCTTCACGAGCTCATAAAATATTAAAAAACGCCTGGCTAAACAGGGAAAAAGAAAGAAGACGCTTTTTGGAATCACAAGAGAGAATCGAAAGGTTTTGGGGAACAGAAAAGGGTTTTTGAAAAGTTTGACAATACCCAGACTAGCTAATTTCTTTAACCCTTCTCAAACAAACAAAGATAAATCTTTTCTTCCTTTTTAAATCCCTTGGAGCTACAGGGGCTGAAAATAGAAATCCCTGGATAAGAGGAGAGAGAAATGAACCGGGAGGGAGATTTGGAGGGAGGGGAGTGGGAGGAGAGTGGGACTGGAGAGATCGAGGTGATTGAGGCTGGGATGACTGAGGCTGAGCTCTAAATCTAGACCTCTATGTTCTCAAAATGTTCTCATTTTGCTTCCTGAGATCCAGCTTGGCGAAATATATCATTTTCCTTTCAGTCTCGGTGTCTAGAAGAGCTTTTTGATGGAGAGAAGCTTAGCTCCGACCCCACCTGCCTCAAATCCTCTAACCCAGCCCCCAAATCTACCTCAAACCCCACTGTGACATCCAGGAAACCGGAAATTGAAAGAATTTTTCAATTTCGAATTATCTATGGAGATTTTTAAGGCTGAACTCTGATCAGTCGTTTTCAGCTCAAGCCAAACGCTTTATCCAGGGTCAAAACATGATCCAAACCTTACCATGACATCCAGAATCCACAAATATGCTAATGTTTTTCAATTCCAACTTAACCCTAAAGCTTTTTAGGCTCAAACCACTGCTTTACTTAAAGGTTCCCGAAAATCTTTTAACGAAAAAAGGCTCCCAAAAAAAATGAGCCCGTTTCCGTTCTATTTTATTTCTTTTTCAGTGGCTCCCATTTTCCCCAGTCTAAAGGTGATTGCGCATGTACGTGAAGGTGAGCAGAGTTGAGCCAGAGCCAGAGAAAGACTCTGCCGCTTTTTCTGAAAAATTTCTCCACTTTGGCCCCATTGGCCGGGAGGAAAGCTGAATCCTGGAGCGCACTGGGGCCTTTGAACCCCTTTTTTACCCTTTTTTTCCTCTTTTTACCCTTTTTCCTCTTTTTGAACTCTTCGAAAGGAATGGGGCATCCAGGAGAGTTTTTTGGCCTTTTTGGGACTCCAGGGAGGGAAAAATGATGGAAACGGGGGTCTGAACGAATCAAAACAGAAGGAGGAGAGGTAAAAATAGAATCGGATAGATCCAGATGCGTCCACTGTTGAATTCCACCACCCAGAAAGTTTGTCTATGCCAAATTCTCCGTTTTATCCAATTGATGATAGCTTTTAATAATGGAAATGTTCGATCTGGATATCACAACACCAGATTTCAATGTTTTCGGGTGCTTAGCGAGGAATTAGCGATGATGGGTACGGGTAAATCTTTAGGGTCACCCTTTGAGGCTCAATTTCTCAATGTAGAAAAGAAATTGGGAGTTGATTTGGGAATTCTGGATATCACGAGAGCTGGAGAGATCATTAGAATTTCGAGTTTTGTTAGTTTTAAAGTTTACAGCTCTCGATTTGAGAATGGGTGAAAATAACGAGAAAGAGCTAAAAATTAACGGTTTCCAGGTGATAAATGGGGTATCTGGATGTCAGGGTAATTGCTGAGATAATTGGAGAGTCGATTATCAATGGTGTACTGATGGCCGAGTGGCTAGCGAGCTAGGTTACAAGACGAGCGACCCGAGGGGAGGGGGCCGAGTTCGAGTCCGCTCAGTGCCAAAACTTTTCCTTTTATGAACTTTTATGCTTTTTTTTGTTTCAGAGTGTTTCTCGAAGTTGTTATCTGCTCAGGGAAACAGGTAATGAAGCTTTTTCACCCACCATCCATTGCAACTCGCCACTCCATAGTGATATCCAGTCGCGAGATCCGAGCACACCGCACACAGCTCTCCCTCGGGCACTTTTCGACCTAAAACTCGTTTTGTACTCTACTGTACTCCAGATCTTTGGAATAGAAACTTAAAACCATTTTTTTTCTTTTATTTCCAAGTTTTCCCTTTTGACTCACGTTGCGCCATCCGTTTGTAAACTGATGAAAATTTTTGTTGCCCGTTCATGCCAGATGACGAGCTGGACACTGACAAATGCCCGGATGGGATTGGAGATGGCAGAAGTGAGACACCGGGCAGTGATCCGGACGGCATCGAGGCGATGGAGGGGAGGCCAGTGCCCGCCGGCAGGCCTCCGTTCATTCTGGAAAGGAATTTATTAGGAATTTGCACAGAATTCACATAGGATTTTCATTACTATCTTCAAGCTGGAGTGCACGACACTCAAAAAGGTGCTCAAAATGAGAATTAAACGAAATTTGGGAATTTGGCTACCCTGGAAAGAGTACAAGGGTTGAAATGGCTCCAGAATTGGCAAATTAACAAATTCTTGGCTAATATAGAAATCCTGGAGCTCACAAAGTCTAAATTTAACAAGAAATCAGGGATCTGGCTTATTCCGGTCAACTCGACCACCCTGAAACAGGATCCCGGTCATTTAGTCACCAAAAACAACTTTTTGGCTTAAAGTTCCTGGTACAGTCTCAATACTGGATGTCACGCTAGCCATTGCGGCCGTTAATTCAATCCGTGTACCGACGTTTGACATGGTGTCAGAGATCTGACTAGATTTCCCCCGAGAAAAATTGAGCGGCTAAACAAATTCAGTCGCCCGCTTTTTTTCGATCGCCCGCTCGGAACGAAGCGGTCTGGCACGCGAAAACATTGAAACATTTTCTGTCAAAATGGGTTTTTTCTTGAAAAATACGCGAAAACATCATTTCTTTTCACAAGAAAAACTCATTTTTGATCAAACATCTTTGCAAGCGAATTTGAAGACTTTTTTGAGTACCCTGCACTCCATAATGTTTATCGGAAGGAAGAAATGGGAAGGAAGAATGGAAAATTTTGCATAAAAGTACGAGGTCTCGATTCGAATCTTGAGAATGGGTAAAAATAACGAGCGAGAGGTAAAAATGGACGGTTTTCAGGGGATAAATGGGGTATCTGGATGTCAGGAGAGCTGGAGAGATCATTAGAATTTCGAGTTTTGTTAGTTTTAAAATTTACAACTCTTGATTTGAGAATGGGTGAAAATAACGAGCAAGAGTGAGAAATGGACGGTTTGTAGGGAATAAATGGGGTATCTGGATGTCAGGGTAATTGCTGGGATAATTGGAGAGTGGATTATCAATAGTGCACTGATGGCCGAGTGGTTAGCGAGCTAGGTTACAAGACGAGCGACCTGAGGGGGAGGCCGAGTTCGAGTCCGCTCGGTGCCAAATTTTTTCTTTTATGAACTAATGGCTCATGTGACATTTTAAAGAAAGATTTCCGATTTCTGATTCTTTTCTTTGAGAATAATTGGTCCCTCTGGGAAAATGAGTCTTTTGAAACAAGCATTTTCCTATTAATGTTTACTTGTCTATTTTCAAACGCGAAAAAACTTGTTATCGAGATTATTTTTGACACTAAAATACTCTTTTTCCAGGCTTTTTCCAGGCGAACACAAAGGCAAATGTTTTTGTTTTCAAAAACGATACGCCCGAGGATTCGGTGAGAGATCGAAGAGTTCTCTCGTGGATCTTTGTGTTTTTACGGGCAAGTTTTAACAAAGATCACCGAACTGGGTGGCAGGCAAGCGTTTGCGGCAAAAAAATGGCGGGGTTTCGTGCAAATGGGGAAAAGTTCAGGGACGCCACAGAGTTCAGGCCTCTTCCAGGCTCCCTGGGGTTTAAATCAAGAAATTAAAAACAGATCTGGGCAAGCTGGAAGGCACACTAGGGATCTGTTATTGTTAAAATTGAGAGCTTCAACTTTTAAGCCTTTGGTCAATGGAGCTTCGGAGTTCAGGCTCCTTCCAGGCCTCCTATTGCTCAAATCCAGAAATTAAAAAGAGATCTGGGCAAGCTGGAAGTCACACTAGGGATCTATTATTGTGAAAATTGAGAGCTTCAACTTTTAAGCCTTTGGTCAATGGAGCCTCGGAGTTCAGACTCCTTCCCGGCCTCCTATTGCTCAAATCCAGAAATTAAAAAGAGATCTAGGCAAGCTGGAAGTCACACTAGGGATCTGTTATGGTTGAAATTGAGAGTTTCAACTTTTAAGCCTTTGGTCAATGGAGCTTCGGAGTTCAGGCTCCTTCCAGGCCTCCTATTGCTCAAATCCAGAAATTAAAAAGAGATCTGGGCAAGCTGGAACGCACACTAGTGCCAGCTAATGGAGAATTTTATATTTATCGGAGAAATTTGACTTTTTCAACTTTTAGATCCCATCGGTGTACCAGTTAAAAATTCGAAATTTCAAAATTTCAATTTTCACTTCTACAACTGATTTTGCCAAATTTTTCTGCTTTGTGCCTTCCAGAAAGCTCAACGAAAAGTTTTTTTGACTCGCCCCAAGCACTAAAGCATTCAAAAAGTGGGCCGTCTCTTTTTTTGAATTCCCATCACTCTTTTGGGAAAATTCGTAAAGAAAAACGATCAAGTTTCAGAAAAAAAACGAAACAGAAAGAAAGAAGAAGACGATTCGGGAATCGTTGGTGTTTGAACTATCGATTTGTGGAAAGAGAAAAAGGGAAAAGAATCAATTAACGGATGGCTTTGAGAATGGTGACTTTTAAGGGATCGGAGAGCGGATATCGATTCGTGGAAAGGTGGATTCGCGGATCTGGAGCGCACAACAGAAACCTACAATGTTTACGAGAGGAAAAATTCAAAAGGAAAAAATTCTAAAAATCTCTAAAAATATCGTAGTGTTGGGCATTTGAAGCGGCCTGTTTTCGTCGATTTGATTAATCTGTATTGAGCAATCACTCACGTGCGCTCCAGATTCACCAAAATTATGCTCACTTTCCAAAGGCTTCAGCCCCTTTGACCACAATTGGGTAGTTGAACCAAAATTGAGTAACTGAACCAAACCCTGAAAGCTATTTTCGCTTGCCCAGTCGATCTGTGTAGCTGAGTCAACGCTGTGCGTTCCAGATCGCCCGAATTCATTCTCAGTTTCCGAGTTTCTACTCAAAATAGGACCATTTGGCTATGGTTGGGTAACTGAACCAAACCCCCGAAAGCCATTTTCGCTTGCCCAGTCGATCTGTGCAGCTGAGTCAACGCTGTGCGTTCCAGATCACCCGAATTCATTCTTAGTTTCCGAGTTTCTACTCAAAAAAGGGCCATTTGGCCATGGTTGGGTAACTGAACCAAACCCTCAAACCCATTTTCGCTTGCCCGGTCGATTCGGGTAGCTAAATCGACGCTGTGCGTTCCAGATTCGTGAAATCTCTCTCGCAAAAAGTGTCACCTTCAATAAGGGCCATTTGGCCAGGTTTGGGTACTGAGCCATACCCCTTTTCGAAATTTCCCATTTTCAATTCCACGTTCGAATGTGAAACAAAATAAACACGAGGCGGATTCCCAGATCGCGAATTCATCCTTAGTTTCCAATTTCTACTCAAAAAGGGCCATTTGGCCATGGTTGGGTAACTGAACCAAACCCTGAAACCCATTTTCGATTTGCACCAGTGGATGCTGAATTAACTCTGTGCGTTCTCCAGATCGTTTGGGGATTCATCCTTGGTTTCCGAGTTTCATAGACTGAAAAAATGGGTCATTTGGCAAGGGATTGGGAAGCTGAACTCCTTGCCAATTCTGGATGTCCGAGAGCTGGAGAGCTTGCGTTAAAATTTCCAGATTCGTCAGTCTCTCGCAAAAAGTTTACACCTCTCGATTTGAGGGGTGCGAGTTATATCGAGGCAACTCCTTAAAATGGACGGTTTCCTATGTTCAATCAACTTGGTATAAACAAAATGTAACAAGAGCCGGATAGTTCCAAAAATAGGTTTCTCTGCTCGTTTTTTTTGGTGATTTCTAATCAATTTTCCCCACTAGATTTGCACCAGTGGGTTAAAATATCACGTTTTAATCCCCAATGTTTGGGGTTTCCTTTGGATGACATAAACGGGGTGAAAAGATAGTGCAGAAGGTAATTGCGGAAGTTGATTTGGAAAATCTGGATTGTCAAGAGCTGAAAAGATGGCCAAATTTCGAGTTTTGTTAGCTAGTTAAAGTTTACAGCCTCCCGATTTGAGGCCGGAGTTAAAGTCCGCTCGAGTGCCAAATTTTTTCTTTTTTGAGTGCCTGACCCATAAACTGTTTATCGGAATGCAAGAAATGGGAAGGCAAAGAATTGGAAATTTTGTCAGTTTTAAAATCTCCAGATCTCAATTCGAATCTTGAGAATGGGTGAAAATAACGAGCAAGAGCTAAAAATGGACGGTTTCCAGGTGATAAACGGGGTGTATGGATGTCAGGGTAATTGCTGGGATAATTGAAAAAGCGATTATCAATGGTGCACTGATGGCCGAGTGGTTAGCGAGCTAGGTTACAAGACGAGCGACCCGAGGGAGGGGGGCGAGTTCGAGTCCGCTCGGCCGCCAAAACTTTACTTTTATGAGTTTAAAATTACCCAAAAAAGCAGGGTTGCGATAAAGTTGTCAACATTTCGATAGCCAGGGGAGCAAAAGCGCCCTCACGAATTAACGGCCGCAATTTTGGCAGAGTTGAGATATTCAATGTAGCAAATAGACAGCAAAAAAAGCGAATGGGTTTTTGGTTTTTGCCAGCGGTCTAGAACTTTCATGTGTCACCCAGGAGAGTCCCCGGAGAGAGAAGGGGCGGACCTAGTGAAGGGGGAGGGCGGGCAGCGGGCCCAGTCCTCTGCCGAGTCTCTCGGAGTCGGCCCCACTCTCGGCCGTTTTTATGTCTGCCCCTCGCAATTGCCCCTAATCTCTCTTGTGCCCTCCAACTAGAACTGAGAAAGAAAAATCACGTGCCTCTCTCTCCCGGGGTGACATAATGAGAAAAGGAAAAGTGTGGAAAACATTTTGGAAAGTAAACAAGAGGAAATTGAGAAGAACGTCTAGGATTGATTGGGGAGAGGAGGGGGAGGTGAACCTAATAACCCTAAAGAGGCTGAACATTGAAATGTTCAAAGATTGTTGGGAAAGGAGCCAAGCCAAAGAGGCAGCCTGAAAAAGGCAGCCTGAAAATACAGGACTGGGGCTGTGTAGGCATTGCTTTTAAAGCTACTTAGCTAAAAGCTAAGCCAACCTCATTCCTGGATGTCATCCTAGAAATCCAGCGTCTTAGAACTCGATGGTTTTGAAATTTGGACTTATGAGGCAGTTCAAAACGAGTTCAACGCCACCCAGCCGCTAGCTGGCAAAATATTCATCTAAAAGCTAAGCCAATCTGATTCCTGGATGTCATCCTAGTCTTAGAACTCGATGGTTTTGAAATTTTGACTTATGGGACAGTTCAAAAAAGCCAGCCTGAGAAAGCCAGCCTGAAAATACAGGACTGGATCCGTGTAGGCCTTGCTTTTAAAGCTACTTAGCTAAAAACTAAGCCAATCTCATTCCTGGATGTCATTCTAAACATCCAGACTCTTAGAACTCGAAGGTTTTGCAATTTTGACCTATCAGACAGTTCAAAACGAGTTCAACGCCACCCAGTCTCTAGCCGGTAAAATATTCATCTAAAAACTAAGCCAATCTCATTTTTGGATGTCACTCTAGCTTCCTCTCAAATTTCGCCACCGAAATTGGTGATTAAATGTTTTCCGCTGATCGAAAGTTCAAAGTTGTTGTCGGAAAAGTGCATCCACGAGAATGGAGCAAAAGAGAGGGGGAAAATGGCCAAAAAATTTTCTTATCACTATTTTATTGTGCATTTTTTTGCATTCTTTCCATCAGAGAATACCGATTTGAATTTTTGATCGACAAAAAAAGGCTGGCTTTTTTGAACTGTCCCATAAGTCAAGATTTCAAAACCATCTAGTTCTAAGATGCTGGATTTTTAGGATGACATCCAGGAATGAGATTGGCTTAGTTTCTAGCTAAGTAGCTTTAAAAGCGAGGCCTACACGGCCCCAGTCCTGTATTTTCAGGCTGGCTTTTTCAGGCTGACTCTTTGGCTTGGCTCATAAGTCAAGATTTCAAAACCATCGAGTTCTAAGACGCTGGATGACATCCAAAAATGAGATTGGCTTAGTTTTTAGATGAATATTTTGAAGGCGTAAATAGTACAAACTCGAAATTTCGGAATTCTGAAATTCCGAGTTTTCAATTTTTTCAAACTACAATTTCCTGGCAAACAGTTATCAAAACTTAAAGCGTGCATGCCAGCTTGGAGAGTTTTATGCAAATTTTGAGCTAATTATAAACTTAAACCCTACTTCTAGCCGTAAACACGTTTCAACGCGTAGCTCGAGCTCCATTTACATTCAACAGCCACTCTGAACTTCTTAATCGCTACAGTGCGTGCCACCAATGATCACCGCTAATCCCATTTGGGTTTTCTCGTTTCACTTGGCTCAACTTTACGACTTCGAAATTTTCTCAGAACTCTAGGGATTCGAATTTTCATTTTCATTTTCAAATTCGAATTTTCATTCAACCACAATAGTTTCATTACATCGATTTCTAAAATTAGAAAGCAAAAATTGAAAAGGGCAATGCTCCTTTTCTCTCTATCCAGAGAGAAAAGGAGGAGATAATTGTGGAAAACAGTGAACTATGAACGGGAACAGGACTGAGCGGATTTGTCGATGGATATGAGTCTAGCGAAAAATTTGTTTCCGAAAAACTCCGTTCTGGAGCGCAGGAGAGTGACTACAAACGTTTTTGAACGAATTAGTTCGCTTTGGAAAAGTGACGAGTTCAGTGATTTAGGACTGGGTGGATTTCTCGATGGATATGAGTCTAGCGAAAAATTTGTTTCCGAAAAACTCCGTTCTGGAGCGCAGCATAGTGATTAAAAATGTTTTTTAATGAATTAGTTCGACTTTGGAAAAGTGAGCAAATCAGCGATTTAGGACTAGGCCGTTTTATCGGTAAATAGAGGAGTTTTTGAAAATTCTCATGGTTCACACTTCAAGCTGGAGTGCAAAAAAGAGAGGGGCCATGTTTTTGGATGCATTCGATCGAGGCTAAAGACCCTGGAGGGGCCAGCTGGGCCCCTCTCCTCCCAGGCCCCCGTTCAAAGCTCATCCCCCATTTCATTGATGCGGAGGCGTCCGGGAAAAGCCCAAGAATCCCAGAAATCTAGACGGAAAAGAGAGCAAGCCTCCCGGGAGTCGAATCCACGAGTTTTTCCGTGTCTTGTCTGCCAAATTCTCGCTCATAAGTCATCGTTGTTTTCGGGAAGGAATTGCTCCTATGTACACAATGCCCTGGGGTGTCTGAAAATAGTTCTAAACACTATCCTGTGACCCAGAACCATTCCCTAACTTATCCAACAGGTAATAGCTTAGCTGGTTATCGTTATATTGACCCAGTCCTGAAACGTCACATTCGGTGATTTTCTAAAAGTTGCTCTTTTTGCTCGAAAAATTTGCATTAACTAGCGTGACATCCAGCTTGAACTTTCCGACAAGAAAAAGGCTATTTGCATATTTGTAAGTTGATGGCTTACAAGCCGACATGATCAGCTCTGCGGAGTTAGCTCTGAGGCCGACTCTTGCAACCTCGTCAATCAGTAGCCTTAAAATACCCTATTTACTGACTTTTAATCAATGGCGGGGTTATTTCGACTTTTATTTCTCTTTTAGACTCAGAGAGATTCTCGGAAATGAAATGAATTCTGGCCTGCTTCGGCTCTCCGTCTAACCCCTTTTTCCAGGGCTTTATCCACAATTTCCATGAACCACTGGGACCGGAGAAGGCTAATTGGAAGTCACACACAGCGACGAGAGGAAAAACGAAATGAAATGACACATTCAGACGCGATGAACGACGAGACACTCCAAAGAACAGGGTGGAAAAAGGAAAGGAAGGAAATTTTTTTAAAGGAAGAAACTTCATTTCTTTTTGGCTTCTGGGGCTAGTGTGAGGTCCAGCTTGGCGGGAAATCGCAAAAGTTAAGCCTTATTCGAAAAGGGGACCCTAGAATCGATGAGATCCTAGAATCCCAAAAAGCAGAATGAATTTTTCAAATTCGAGCTTTTTTAAGCTCTCTATAGCTAGCATGAGTTCCAGATTGAAAGAAAAATTTAAAATCTTTTGTTTGTACTTGGAAAAGTTTCTCATTTTTTGCAAGCAAGCAGATTTTGGTTCAAATTCGAGTTCAAAAACGCAAATTTTAATCTGGATTTGATGGAATTTGGATAAAGATTGAAATTGAATCAAAACTGAAACTAGAAAAAGGAGAAGAAGGCCTATTAAAGCACAGAGAGGTGTCTGTCTTTGCACCTTCTTCAGACTAGTTCTATCGCCCTAGGATCGACCGATCCCATTTTCACCAATCGACCTTTTCAGCATTCAAAGCTTTTCAACTCCTCGTGTGCACTCCAGAAAGAGCAAAAGTCTCAATGGAAATGAAAGTTCATTGAGCGAAACACGAGAAATTTTAGAGAACTCAATCGAGTGCAGACTCGATCGGAATCGCTGAAAACTTTTTAAAGCGAATCACTGAAAACTAATTTCCTTTCTAAGCTGTGCGTTCCAGATTAGCGATTTCATTTATTTAAATGTTAATAAACGATTTTTAAGCTTGAGAATTCTTCGAGAACTGTTTTGCCTCGAAACTCTTGAAACGCAAAACCTTGAGAAACTTTGAGAGACTTTGAGAGGCTGCCTTTTGGAGCTCAGCCAAGTATAGAGTCCACTCCAGTGTTGCAAAGTGGCAGGGAGGCGATTTTCGAAATGCAAAGTGGCAGACTCTAGCTATTTCGGTCACATAACCTTGAGCCTTAAAACTCAAAAAGTTTTCCGGACCCAACTCAGCCTTTCTTTCGCCTTTCAAGCCTCGCGTGAAGTCCATAGTTTACAGAAATTTGTTTCAAAGTTAGATTCAGGCTGGTTAAGTTGTCTGGAAAGGGTCGATCAGCTTCCGGACTTTTTATGCCTTCATCAAAATGATTCGTACGCAAATTTTTCGATCAAAATCCGATCCAATGACTTCCAGATCGAGCAGAAATCGATTCATTATCAAACATTTTTCCCAAATCAATTGTAATTTTGGGGGGAACTCGAAAACAGCTTCAACTCCATCACAAAAAATAACAATCTCTCAAATCCGTCTTTTTGATTGCCTTACGTGCGTTCCAGATCCCTCAAAAATCTATAAATTTTAGAAAAATTTGAAATTTTGAGCCGAGAAAAGCGCTGAACTCGAAAGGCTTAAACCCACTTCCCTTTTCTTTACTTGAAAAATCTTTTACTCCATTTTTTTTGTCAATTCACTCCTTCCCGTTTTCCCTATTGCTTCGATGATTAGATTTGCTTTTCGGGAGGAAAGAAAAACGGCTGTGAAAGGAAAAGAAGAGCAACAGAGAGCAGAGCGATTTTTGCTCGTCTCAAAGATTGGGATGAGGGAGCGAGGGTTGGAGAAAAGTTCAGAAAACGATTGAAAAAGTTTGCTTTTTCTTGTCGGAAAGTTCAAGCTGGATATCACGCTAGTTAATGCAAATTTTTCGAACAAAAAGAGCAACTTTTAGAAAA